GGAAGGCTATGGGAAACCCCCGCCAAGGGTGAGTGACAGCTTGTCTTCCCAGCACAACTCGATGGCAGACGACTGTACACTTAAGAAAGCCACACAGCAAGAGAGTGTGAGGGCAGCTGCGTGCACGGAAGTACCACGCATATCCACTAGAAAGAGTGGCTTCACGTGAGAGATGTTGGCTGGCACGTGAGGACAGGTTTCATTATTACAGCTTTATTCTGCTTGTTGTTATCTGTTTTGTCTTGTGTGGAGATAGAGCTTTATCAGCAGCTTCTACCTTATGGGTTGTACTAGAATTCTGTGTGTGTGTGTGTGTGTGTGTGTGTGTGTGTGTGTGTGTGTGTACTGTCACCCTTACACAGGTGCAACCATATGACCATTGGTGTCACACTTTACAGAGGAAGAGACTGGTGGTAGTAGAGGCCTTGGTGTGTGGTAGTGACTAGAAATAAGGCAGAAATGATCTGATCCAACTCTGGTGTGTAGTTTACCTAGCTCAATAATGAGGGGCCTTATTTTACATAAGTGTGTTTTCTAGTCTCTTCCACAAGATCTACCCAAGGAGTGAATGAGACAGAATGAATATGTCCTCCAGAACAATGAGCTTCAAGCAATGACCATGAATTCACAGTTGCTTAGTCTCACATTTTATTTCCGTCTCCATGCATATTTAGCATCAGTACATTTGCCTTGAATACCACAGCTCTTCATATTGGAAAGCATTTGTACAAATCTTGATCCTTAAGTAGTGATGCGTTGTTAGATTTCAGGAACTAGGAAAACCTAGGAGAGCTTCCCCAGTCACAAGGTCAGTGCCCAGGCCTTCCTTCTCATCTCATTGTATCACACTACATGACAGACAGCGGCCTTCCTTGACTAGACTACATTAGGATAAGGAGACAGACGTTTTCGTGACTTGAAATGATGAGGTGTTCCCAAATACTCCTGACAAATACATATTCCTCCTTAAAGATCAAATTGCATGCTGAAAGAGTCTCTGGTTCATTCTTCAACCATCCCTACTGTTTCAAGAAGTATTCTCTGAAGGGAACCCTGATAGCACAGTTTTTTGTTTTTTGTTTTGTTTTTTCAAGAAAGGGTTTCTCTGTGTAGCCTTGGCTGTACTAAACTCACTTTGTAAACCAGGCTGGCCTTGAACTCATGTCGATCTACCTGCCTCTGCCTCCCTGAGTGCTGGGATTAAAGGCATGTGTGTGCTACCGTGCCCGGCTGACACAGTTCTTTAATCTGTTGCTTGGGTTCCCCTCAACCGTTAATGAACCGAGAATCTCAAAGGATCTCTATAATCAATCCTCTTCCTCCAACCCTCAAACTTTATTTTTATTACAGCAGCTTTCTGGAAACACTAAAAACCGTTCCTGGTTTCATCTTGCAGCTGATAACAAGACCTTGAGGAACCTCTTTTAAATAGGTCCATGATGCATACTTACTAAACTGACTGAGGGAAAGATGAACCTATGTAAAATAAACATCCTAAGTATGTGAGCTCATGAAAAGAAATAATACAGAATGTTCTATTGTGACACTGGACAGAGGTGTCACAGCCAGACCAACCATTTGTTTCATGTCTGGGCTGTATTGTTCATGGTGAATTCATTTCAAGGCAACATGGAGAGACTAAAATTAAGTTAGTATCCGGGTTTCCCACGAAAAGTTCTTTCTGGCACAAGGGTGCTTCAGCATGAATTTCTTTTGCAGTCCTATGTATAGCTTACTCTGAAGTGACTTCTGCCTTTAACCTTTTAGTCTTTAAAAGCTTTCATGACTAAGAGTTTTCTAAATTCAGACCTTTTAGTCAGAAGAACTCACAGTCAATTTTTATGAACAAGAAAAAGAGAAATTCTACTAATTTCCCTGGCTCAGATAGGAAAATAATGTTTCCAAATTTTACAAGTCAAAGGAATATTCCAGAGAGTTCTGTGTGTCTCTTCAAATATTCTTTCACATTAGCCCACATGTGTCCAGGTTGTGTGGGTCTCAGACTAGGAAACTCGGTGTTTAGAACTTAAAGTCTTTCCCTCGAATTTTCCTGTTCCACTAATGGCAATTTCACTGGCTCAGAATTGGTCTACTTGTCTACGCAGCTTTTCTCAGCCCTACCCTGTAATTTTCCTTTCCTGTTAGCTTAACCAAAGTCTATTTTCAAGGCTTAGAAATATAAGCTTCATTATATAGTCAGACCATATCATTACTACCCACTAGCCAATGTGCAATCCAAAGTGCCTTTGACTTTTTTGAGATTTAATTGTCTTTATTGGGGAGGAGGGGAGTGCTGTCATGGAAGAGTATTTTCTGCTCTCTCAGAGGCCCTGGTTCAATTCCAAGCTCCCACACCTAGCAGCTCACAGTTGCCTGCAGCTCCAGGTACGGGGGCTCCGGTGCCACCTTCTGGTCCCTGTGGGTACTGCACTCACAAGGCATGTACCGCCACCTAGGCATTCGTATTAAAGACATAAATACTTTTAAAAGAGAGCATTTACCCTTATCCTAAATTCTCATTCATCCATTTGATTATCTGAAGCATTATTGAGCTTCTGCTTTGTGCTAACAGCTAGACACAGGAGCCACACTCACAGAAATAGCAGTTTCCAACCTTTGGAAGTTGGCATCGTGCTGTTGAGAGAGAACAGCTGCTCTGAGGGTCAGCAAGAGCTTCGGGGACACTGCTCTTAGAGTTTGCACCACTGCGGCAGCCATTACATGAACCTGCAGTCTGAGTCTGACTTCCGTTCTCAAGTTTCAGCCCATCGTTTGCTGGGCAGCCATGGTTTCCAAATATACTTAGATTGTTTTTAAAAGACACATTCAAGATTTCCTTGTTTTTTATTGCTGAGTAATATTCCATTGTGTAAATATACCACAATTTCTGTATCCATTTCTCAGTGGAGGGGCATCTGGGCAGTTTCCAGCTTCTGGCTATTACAAAGAGAGCTGCTCCAAACATGGTTGAGCAAATGTCCTTATTGTGTACTTGAGCTTCTTTTGGGTATATGCCTAGGAGTGGTGTAGCTGGATCTTGAGGAAGCGCTATTCCTAGTTGTCTGAGAAAGCGCCAGATTGATTTCCAGAGTGGTTGTACAAGTTTATATTCCTACCAGCAGTGGAGGAGGGTTCCCCTTTCTCCACAACCTCTCCAGCATGTGTTGTCACTTGAGTTTTTTTATCTAAAGTCATTCTGATGGATGTAAGGTGAAATCCCATGGTCATTTTGATTTGATTTTCCCTGATGACTAAGGACGTTGAGCATTTCTTTAAGTGTTTTTCGACCATTTGATATTCCTCTATTGAGAATTCTCTGTTTATCTCTGTACCCCATTTTTAAATTGGATTACTTGATTTGTTGCTGTTTAGCTTCTTGAATTCTTTCTTTATATATTCTGGATATTAGCCCTCTGTCAGATACAGGGTTGGTGAAGATCCTTTCCCAATCTGTAAGCAATTGTTTTGTTCTGACGACAGTGTTTTTTTGCTTTACAGAAGCTTTTCAGTTTCATGAGGTCCCATTTATTGATTGTTGATCTTAGGGGGGAACAGCCTTACCAGGCCACAGAGGAACACAATGCAGCCACTCCTGATGAGACCTGATAGACTAGTATCAGAAGGAAGGAGAGGAAGACCTCCTCCCCTATCAGTGGACTTGGGGAGGGGCATGTTGGAGAAGGGAGAGGGAGGGTGGGGTTGGGAGGGGAGGAGGGAGGGAGCTACAGGGGATACAAAGTGAATAAAGTATAATTAATAATTTTTTTTTAAACACACTCAATTTCTCAAGTTGTTGTGTGGGTGAAGCATACATGTAGCAGCCAGGGGACGCCCTTGGTTGTCACTCCTGGCAGAGCCCGCCTTTTCTTTTTGAGACAGGCTATGCCAGGAGCAAGAGTCCATTCACATGCTCATTCACACATGTCCACACCCTGCTCCGTCTGGGTTGCCAGGTCCTTTCCAGCTGAGCTTGTCTAGAAAGGAGAACACAGGGAAACCCTGGCCTGTGAGAATCTCCCAGGGAATCTGCAGCCACTCTGCACACAGCCCCGCGCACCTCCGCTCTCTATCAGCTCTTCCTCCTGTTGGGGTTCACACCTACACAAACAAAGCCACATTTCCTTCTGCGGGCCTCGTGCCTCGCGTGTCATCAGGCCCGGTGATGTTCGCTCCGTGATGTTGTCTATAGATTCCCTCATTTCTATAGTAATGACAAAGCTATTGATATGTGATGTGTAACTAATCCCGGAAATGTTCTGCATCCGCCATCAGTGAGATAATTCAGCAGAGCCTCGATCACAGGCTCCTTTCAAAGCTCGTATCCCTGCCTTTAAAAAGTGTGTGTTTCTTCATGACCAAATAAAACTTAACAGGCATTTAATTATAGGAATAGATTGTGAATATATTAAAATGATAAAAAAAAAAACCCACTAGTTTCTTTTGGAAGGGCTAGTGAAAAAGGACAATTATTGGACCCAAATTTCATATGTATTTAAGGCCCATAAGTCTCACTGACAGAGTGGACTGTCCTAGCTCAATAATTAATGCCCTGGGAGTCCTCCAGGTAGAGTGTGATTTGGGTATTTTATGGGCAATTTTGTCAAAGATCCATGTCAGCCAAGATGTTTACACAATGCTCCACAAAAAAATTATTGTCACAAGCAAACTGGGGTTGTTTTTTTTAAATGTTCTTTAAGTAAACTTAGGGAAAATGATGCCCTCCTCAATTGTCCCCCCTTTATAAGTGACAGGTGCCTTCATTTTTATTTACCATCGGAGTGTATCTTTGAGTATGGCTGTTCTGAATGTGTAAACAGCACCATCTTTGGAATACACAGTGCAGTATTTCATAACTTGAGTTTGTTGCAGCTTCAATGCCCAGCCGCCCCTTACTTTTCAGTAATAACCTTGTATGTGTGCCTAGTTCTGGAGGGAGAGCCATGACTGTCCTCCATGATGCCTTTATGCTTCTTTCTTATTCTTTTTCTCCTTCTTCACAGGGATTCTGCTTCCCCGCATTCCGGTGGAGTATAGTATCTTGCTCAGTGATGGAAGCATGGTGCCTTTAACCTTCTCTGTTGGACACCGGCAGTCTGCCCATCTGAAAAACTTGGCTCCATTCACACAGTACGAGATAAGGATACAAGCCTGCCAAAATGGTGACCGTCTTTTAGAAATATGACCCGGGTTTGTTTGAAAAGTAGTTCAAAACATTTATTTCATTTAAAAGGCACAGGTTCTTGGCTGAAATACAAAGACTATAATGTTTAATTTCTGATTTCTGGTAGACTGATAGCCCAGAAAAATCAGAGCCTGTCATCCAATGAAGCATTGAGTAGCTCTACACATTACATCATGAATATTTAAATATATTAAAATTGTAGCTTTGTAAAGACTTGTTTAATAAGGCCTCTTAAAAGAAAAACACTCATCTCACACAAAGAGGCCACTGATCATATAAAACAAAACAGGATCTAGAATAAAGTCATAGATATTTATTAAACTTAATTTTATTTAAACATTTTCAGGAGGGAAAAGGGAAAAGTTATTTAAGACCTGAACTGTAAACCAAGCTTGATGCATGTGCCTTTAATCCCAGCATTCTGGAGGCAGAAGCAGGCAGATCTCTGAGATCAGAACCAGCAAGGTAGACAGAATGAATCCAGGACACCCAGGGCTATGCAGAGAAACCCTGTCTTGAAAACACAAATAAAAAAAGATTCACAAATGAATCTATATATTTGATGGTGTTTCCTTGGAGCCAGTGTCATGGGTCTGAGGTCTGCGCCTTTGTCTGTGACCTGGTGAAACCACTGCTATAGACAGAATGTGGCCCACCCCTTCTCCCGTCTAGTGGAGGAACAACATGAACTGATGTTCAGAAGAGGAAGCCATGGAATCCAGAGAGCAGATTACACAGCATTTATCTCTGCTATGTGAAAAGCAGACCTATGAGGCTAGGTACTGTGGAGCCTGCCTTTAATCCTAACACTGGGAGACTGAGGCCGGTGGACCTCTGTGAGATAAAGGCCAACCTGGTCTCCTAGCAAGTTACAGAATAGCCAGGGCTACACAGAAAGACCATGTCTCCAACAAACAAATGCATAAACAAAACCACATGTGTGTCCATGGCCCACATAAGTAACACCCGGCTGCACGGCGAGATGGAATTCATACAGGCAGCCTTTTGCTTCACCGTGGGGTAACTCGCCAGCCTTCATCCCATGTCTAGCTGGTTGAACTATCACGGTCCTAGGCTCATTACCTTAGAGTCAGCTCAGGTTTCAGAGCTGGTCTTGATGAGTCACATCAGAAACCCTAAGGCCATTTGTTGGCTTCATCCTACCAACTGGGCCATGGTTTGTTTGAAGGGTTTTACTCTCCCCGATCCAGCCTTTTACTCAGCAACATGGCAATAGCTTGCTCAATTTAAGGGCAAAATCAGTTTCCGGTTGCTTACCGCTGGAGCTGTCTGTGAATGCCCAATGGACTCGGAGTTACTTATTCAATATCTGTGAGTCTAAGCAGCAGTAGTTACCTTAATATATTGAGTACTATTACGTGTATACAGAATTTGTGTGGGTCATTTACACACTTATGAAATTCAAATGTGATCACCTGCTAAGTAGAATAACCGCAGCAGAAGCAGAAACCAGGTCAATCAAGCCTATGGTTTCCTGCCTACAACTGTATGGGTAGATGGTTGCTGAATGGAGCATCTAAAAGCGATTTTGTATTTTCATGTTTGAATTCCATGGGCACCCAAAAGACCAGACTGAAACACGCATGCACTGTATCCAGACGGGGTATACATGGCGCTGTCGTCCTCCTGTATGGCTGTGTAACACACAGCTTTCATGGACAAACCACTAAATCCCTGGGTTGCTTTTGCAGCAGGCTGTGGAGTTAGCAATAGGATATATGTCAGAACACTCGAAGCAGCACCAGCAGGTCTAATGCCCCCTCTTCTGAAGGCTCGGGATTCATCTTGCATAGAAGTTAAGTGGATGCCACCTAGAAGACCCAATGGAGTCATCTCCAGCTATTTCATTTACAGGTAAGAGGTTCGGGATTGGGGAATGCGTGCCATCCCGGGGCTGAAGAATCCCATGCGTGTTTTACTTTGCACAGGGACAGAAGGGCATCCACGTTCCACGGAGCACATATTCATAAAGACTGCCGTGGAAGCTGCCCAAGGACCAGGGCCCACAGTTACTTACTGTGTGACCTTTTGTTGAGATCTGTTTGATAGCTGAGACTATAGAGCTCTTGATGTTTTTTATCTTTGTGACTCCTACCCCTAAGTGCTACTGTCTTTGTTTCTCATTTTATCTATTTTGTTGCTGTTTTTGATTGCTTCTTTGTGTTTGTGCAATTCTAAGGATCAAAACAAGGGCCTCATACATGCTAAGCAAATGTTCTACCACTGACCCAGCCCTCCCATTCAACCTTAATGCCTCTTTTCTTGGTTGGCTAATAATATATTTACAATTTTTTCTCCTCATCATATATTACATGGATCTCCCTAGTGCAAGGGAAATAAAAGCAGAAACAGAAGGAATGGAAAGGCAGGAAAGAAGTGCTTGAGGAAAGATCATGTAGGGTGGAGGGAAGGATGGGAGTGAAGGGAAAGAAATGGAAAGAGGGTCAAGAAGGCAGAGAGAGAAAGGGGGAAAGCTGAATGTAAAACAGGAGGCCAAGGCCCTATGTGCTTGACATCTGGGGAAGAAAACGGAAGTGGCAGGCTGTTGTGCATGGCATACTCCACTCCAAAGGCGATGTCTACAGAGTAACACAAGGTATGGCATGACCCCACCCCACCCCAAAGCTCGCTCCTCACCCTCTGCTCTCATACCTTCAGTTAGTCTTTCTAGCACTTTCCACTGTTCCTCATTTGCTCCATGTGCCTTGGATACCTGGCGATGGATACTATAGGCACTGAAGCCCTTTAATTCCAGCCCTTCTTCAGTGATCACCTAAAGGTTTGTAGGAGGGAAAAAATGTGAAAGGGAAAACTATGGTTGCATTTCTGGTTATATAAGTGGCATTACCTAGGACGCGCAAGCCCGACTTCTCAGCCGACTTTAACTTGAAGAAGAATGTTTCTGATTCAAATGCACACCCGTATAAAAATGGCTGATGCGGATTTGCATTTCGCACTAAGCACTTTAGTGCAGAATATCTCGGGCATCCGTCCTCCAGAAGCAGTTTTCTTTCAATTACTGAATGCTAATTGCATGGGGAAGGTGCATCAAATTCCTGTTTTGAATGAAAGGAAATAGGTGAGTGTCGGGGAGCAGGATGTGGCTTCATTCTGTTGGTTTTGTAAACAAAGCTCATGATTACAGTGACTATTCCATGGCAGCTACAGCAAAGGAAAACAGGAAATCGAATGCAGAAAGGCTGCTTCAATGAAAAATACTGTAAATTGAATTTGACAGCATTTGATGGCATTTGATTATTCTAGTCACAGCCAAACAATGATATAAAGAGTAATATGAAACAGAATGTGTTACTGCCTAGCAGACTCCAACGCAATAAACCTTCCCCCATTGTGACACAATCACTTCACCATCATAATTGTAGCCTGTTTGATACCTCTGAGTACAGCGGAAGGGCACTGACTGACATAGATACATTTTGTTTTTTATTTAAAGTGAAATGAAAATGGCGCACTGGGGCTCCAGATACAATCGTTATATTCACCTTCCTAGGCATGAATCACTTGGCAGTTATTCCAGCTGAAGTTTAAATGTGCTTAGACAACAACAATATCAAATTTTTCTTAGATAGCTGCAGAAAAAAAATCAGAAATTTGTAAGGACAGAAATAGCATGTAGACACGCAGTCCTTTTTCATCCGATGAGAGCTCCTTCCACGGCTGTAGCTCAAGCCTGCAGTACTTCTGAGGAGGTTATGCCATATAATCCCTACTCCATCATTCATCTGCTCTCTCTGTCGCCAAAGGAAATGGCATGCAGCTGAAGCCAAAGACAAGGCTTGGCCCATGCAGAGATTTTCATTATATTACAGGAGGCCAACATGCCAATTGCATTTTGAAGACACTTGTGATATTTTTGACTGATCCCCCAAATTACTTTCCCCTCTTTGTAATTCTCTTCCCTTGCTTTAATATTGGTTCTACACATCATACTGTTATAAAAAGAAAGTGCCCACCCTAATGAGGAGGTAAGATATTTATGATCCATAAGCAAAACAAAATAGTCCATGTGTCACTTACTTTTCTTGTCGTTGGGACCCAGTGGAGGCAGCAAGGGGAGGAGGGAGTCATTTCAGCTCCTGTTTTCATGGTAGGGCAGACGGGCATTGTTCAAGGTGGAGAAAGTGGCTTCCGGTCACAGCGGTGAGGACATAGGACGGCTTGTTTATGTCTCAGGAAGCAAAGAGCTCGGGCAAGAAGCCAAAGCCCAGCCCACTCACAACTCTCATCCCTGCTCCTAAGTCCTTACCTCTGCCAACTACGTCCCATGTCCCAAACGTTCCACAACCTCTCAAAACAGCACCACCATTGGAGAGCAAGTGTTCAAACACCCGAGTCTGTGAGGCACATTCCACGCTTAAATCAATGACAGATTAGGATGTCCCAGATTAAATTTCCAGTTACCACGGCTGCTGTGTTGACTGCTTGCAATTCATAATGGAAGTTTTCTGTGAGAGTGTTTAGGTTAGTGTTTCGTAGCTTATTTATTGCTGAGATACAGGCAAGGCCAGCTTGGATGTCCACACCTTCCTCAAAGAGAGGGTGGTTTGTATAAAGATTCTTCAATCTACCTGCTTCATCAGGTCAATAGCCTTATAAATGGTAAAATTCTCACCACTTCCATCTATAAGATCCATCCAAGATGCTTTCTTAGAAATTGAAAGAACACTTGTAAAATTACCTCCTCCCACCAGGAGCTTCCATGTAAATAGAGATGAAATTACATAGGGCTTATAGTCTCATGAACCTTCCATTTTAAATGAGTAATAATAATTGAACCTTCTATGTGCATTAGAAGTCAGAAGTGCATACATACAAAGATACTTTAGCACCATCAAAAAGGGGAAAAATGGGTATTGAGAAAGACTTTAGATTGGTGTTTCCAAGCAGGAAACTGAAATGATTCTATAGAATGGATAAATAGACTGACTGAGTTAACTAAGGAAAGGTGACCATTAAATCAAACACAAGTAAATGCTGATGAAATCTTATTTATGTTGTGTGAAAAGGTAGATTCAGACCTGGGCACCAAATTAGACAATAAATAGCTAGATATGTAACATATATGTATATCCATGCCAAGGGACACACAACTCTTTAAATGTTAATTCTTATTACTACTGATCTCATTACTATATAATAAAGATAAACTAAACAAAAAGTATGATGAATAACTTAATGTGAGACTCACAAATATTCATCAGAAAATTTGGAGAGATGTATTAGTTACTTTTCATTGCCGTAATAAAATGCCATAACCAAAAGTTGGTATATGAACAAAAGGGTTTCTTTGGGCTTGTGTTCCAGAGGGAAAGTCCATAAAATCAGGGAGGTGTGGCAGCAGGGGCCAAAGCAAGAAGCTGAGAGTCAACTGCGAAAGGGAAAAGAGGAGAGCCAGAAGTGGGGGAGACTGTGAGCTCCCAAAGCCCGCCCCAGTGTCACGCTCGCGTCTGCAAGGCTATGTCTACTCAAGGCCCCATAACCTTCCCAAACACCACCCCCAACCGGGACACCAAGTGCTCACGTATCTGAGCACTGAGTATTTTATTCAAACCACCACAAGAGAGTAACATTTTTTACAATATTCACAGGATATTCCATAATGTCAATGTGATTAACACTAGGCCTTCCCATATAAAACCATGGTGACTATGGAAATTTTAAAAGAAATATGCTTAATCGGGAAGAGTATTTAATCACAGCAGCAGAAAAGGTCGCATAACTATTATATGTCTTCCTTGTAACCTAGATAACACATATATAGTCACTATGAGTGGATATAAACAACCATTTTTAATATACTAACATTGATGTGCTATATTTTCTTTCATGTAAAAGCAATCATATTCCTTATACTTTTCCACTGGAGGTTTCATTTCCATAATCTCTATTCAGTAAACCTTTTTATGATTATGTTAAAAATAACAATTTAGAAGCACACATAGTATGTATATAAACACACACACACACACACACACACACACACACACACACACACTGTGATAGACAGAACTTCACTAACCTGCAGTGGAAACAGTATAGGTGTCACTAGAATAAGAAAATGTCCCAACTCTAAAGGCTAGAGTTGAAGTAGTTGTCATGTTTTGCTAGGATCTAAACTACATGTGGAATGAAGTTAGATCATCTGGGTTTTTGACTTTGAGTGGAAGACGTTAACAGACCATGCTAACTCTTTAGGCGTTTGGAGTTTTGTATCATTGTTTTGTGGCTGCTGGTGGGTGGGTGGGTGTTCATGTTTTCATACTGAACCGAGAGAAATATAAAGAAACACTGTGATCATGGAAAGAACATGGGTGTGTGCTCAAAGCGCATGTCTTTTGCAACTTCCTGGTGTTGGTGGGGCATTTCCTTGGGTGAGTCACCTATAAAGTTATGCAGAATTGAGCTCGTGAATCAAAAGGCTGGCTAGCCTCTGCGAGCTTTATAAGGAATAGTGAAATGATACATGAAGTAGTGTGTTAAATACAAAGCAGCAGAAACAGGAAGGCAGATCTGGAGGTTCTGGGTATTTACTGAGGAACAGAGAAAGATTCTTAGTGACAAAAGGAGTAGGCTCTGTCACAGTGTCCGTACTGTGTCTGTTTTCCTTTAAAAAATCGTATTTCTCTTTTCCTTTGCAGGCAGAGGAAAGGTCTAGATTATTAGACACCAGTTATGGCAGTAGTACTTCTCTCCAGTGGCAGGTGTGAGGGGTCTTTCAAATCCTCCCTGTTCATCTATTATCACATAATTTTACACTCAGTGTGTTACACAGAACGGTAAAGGCAAAGTAAGCAACTTTGCTGACTCCAGATGCAATCCCACCACTCCGTCATGATTTTTCTGTTTTCCTTTCTCTGTAGACACCATCACTTCATGGGGTAATCAAGGTGTAATCAGAAAAGAAAAAGATCGAGTTATTTTAACCGAGGGATTTGATGTAAATAGGCACACAGGATAAGTGTATTAAGTGGGTAACTGAAATGATAAAAAGAAAACTCCAAGATGACAGGGAAGCGGTAGCCGGAGGAAAGCAGGTGTCACCCTAAGGGCTGAGGGAACAAAAGAAGTGGACAGAATGATTCTACCCAGAGGTAAAACCCTGAGGAACTGGGTCCCAGAGTTCCTAGGCATATGTGGCTGCCAGTGGCTCTTTGGAGAGGAAACAGTAAGTCTAGCTATTTTTTCACATTAGAGTAACTATTATGAAAACATTTCCTCCTCCCAAGTGGGAGATTGCTTGCTGGCAAGAGGCTCTCAGTAACAGCTACTAAAGGGAAACAATTAGGAAAGTAGGTTCCTCTTTCACCTTGATGACCTGGTCACCCCCTGGTGCCAACTATTGACAGAGCCCAACATCAAGTTCCTTGATAAAGTAGAAATGGAGGTCTCAGTGTATAGGCTATGAAATAAATATACTTAAAATATTTAAAGAAAGACATTTTATACACAAAATGAGAATAAATGGCTGTGAAAAATCCATGCTTCCCAGATTCATATTTGTCTTCATTCCTATCATAGCATTAGGCAGCATTAAATCACCTATCTTTGAAAGAGAATTGCCCAAATAAGCTCTAGTAATGAATGGCCCATGTGGCTGTCCAGGGAGAGCGGGACGCATAATCTGGAAATACATGCTCTTCTAGAGGAACAGGACCACCCCCATGAACTGTTGCCACCCAATAATTAGGGGAAAGAATGTGTTTTCCTCAACCTCTTCTCTGGGTGTGTTCAGATACAAAGAGAGCTCAACTTTTAATACCACATATGGGATGAAACATATTCTCCTATAGTATTAATTTATTAAGTAATAAATAGTAAAATATTTCACTTTTGGTGATGTAGACACCTAACATTCCCCTTTGGGCAGCCTTTTCTTTAATGTCAGTTTTCTGAAAACCATAGCTACATCTCAATTTGGGAATTCACGAGATGTTTAATAAAAATTAATTAAATTGTCATAGTAAGTCTCAAATAAGACAAAATAGAAAATGTAGTTTTCCCATGGAATTCTGATGGTTTAGCTTACACTGTTATGTCCCTAGCAGATAAAGTTTTAGAATGCTGACCAGAGTGCTTGGCTGTGAGCCCTGAGACCCTCATTCGAACTGCTCCCTCTCCATCATACACCCAATACCTGAGACATACAGCAGGCAGAAGAGCCAAGTTTGGCATGCTGACATGGAGTCAGAAAATGGCTGTGTGTGGTAGCGGGTCAGAATGAAGCTGCAGGTCAGTGAGGTGGACCTGACGTCTCTCTAGCTCACCATCCTTACACCACAGAGATGCATCCGCTGGAGAAACCTCAGATTCCCAGCACCAAAGATTTTGCATGCGCTGCTTCTGCTTTGTGAAAGGTACTGTCATTTGCTTTGTCTTAATCACCCTCTGAGTTTTGACGGGGCCAGTTAATCTGATATAGCAGCATGTGTGCCCCCGGCGTCTGAAGAGGGTGTTAATTAAAGACTTCTAACAGCCTGGAAAATATTGATTTATTCAACACTCTTCTCCACTAGAGACTGGACTGGGAGCGGAAGGGCCCTACTTTTCACTGCATTCTTCCCCTGCCGAGCCTCCACCGCAGCAAAACACAAGTTTGATAAAGATGAAGCCGAAAGGCAGAAAAAAAAAATCATGAAATTATATACCTTTTAGCTACTCATTTAAAAAGTAAATGCTTGAACCCTTCATGGACTTGGACACGGGGAATATGGAGATGTAAAAGGCACAGTTCCCTTCCTGTCAGACGTATGTCATGATTTTACACCTGGATGAGCAAAAATCTGTTCCCAACTCAACATCAGATATTTAAGACCATCTTAACTGACAATTCCATTCCTCTTGCCTCTGTGTTTAATGCTTTATATATTCAATACCAAAATAAAATGCATAGATCTGACTTTGATAGCAACAAAATCTCAGCCATAAGATGACTGAGTAATCTTATTCTCTAGCAGTTAAAAGAATATGTTGAGGATAGTTTGGACTGCATTCGGCTTTAAGAGACATCAAAAAGGAAGTTGCCCTTTGCCCTTTGCCCTTTGCCCTGGTCCTGTACTCACCGTATGGTTTTCGCTTGCACATAGCATGGGCTCAGCTCCTTTGGGTACGAATCTCTGTATCCCTGCTCCCGATGTTTGTGTGTGGTTCTTGAAGTGTGACAAGTGTATTAGGGCAGTAATACTAATGAGAATGTTTCCTGCCTTCGTGGACGGGGTATGGTTTCATTAGGACAAAATTTAAATGGAGAGAAAATAAGAAGCACATAAAAGAAACAAACACATAAAAATGGTGTCCAACCGCCCTGCAGGTAAATGCAAGGTCCATCATTCTAGGTGAAACTCTGGAAGAACTTGGGTTCTCTGGCCAGCATCTGTCCCATGGAGGGCCAGCCCAGGTGTTTGGAGAGAATGATCCCAGGCATCCGACCACAGCGGGAGGGTCAGCCTTGCTCCCTGTGCAGTCCCCAAAGTCATATATGGAGCCAAGTGCAATCCACCTCTCACAGTCTTAGGATCCCCAAAACACCAGCCTGTTGGGATCCAGTTCTGTGGCCTGGATCCCAGGGTAGAACCTGGATGAGACTGCTTGTGTACACAGCCATGATTTATTCCTCACTCGGAGGACCAGAAAGCGTGAAAGCCACGATCCATGCATTAGAAACGACACATGAACTCTAATATGGGGCTGATTATTCGTTACTGAGCTGTTCCCCCTGATGCACCCATGGTCCTCTCAGCCCAGTGAAATCAAGCCTAGACATTTCCTCAGAGACTTGTCTCGAAGGTGACTGTAGATCTTGTCACCTCAACAATATTAACCATCATGGAATGTGTTGCATGATTTTTTATGTCTCTTGTATTTATATGTCTCTCATGACCCGTCTGACCTTTTAGCAACGCGCTCCCATGTGTCAACTACGTAAGAAAATGGCCTTGAACAGATCTCTAGCATATTCCCGATTTAAAAAATAATGATAATTATCAAAAAGAAGACAACTGTCTTGATAACCAAGCTGAGGAAGGAAGTATCCCAAACACTAGACTCTCTGTCTATATGGCTGTTTGAAGTGTCTGGTGTCACCTGGTTTGCTTGGTTCTCTTGCAGGCGTCCTGCTTACACCGAAGAGGAGTCTCTCCTCTTTGTCTGGTCGGAAGGAGCTCTTGAGTTCACTGATGATGGGGGCACCCTGCACCCCTTTACCCTGTACGAGTACCGCGTCAGAGCCTGGAACTCCAAGGGCGGGGTGGACAGCCTGTGGGCGTCAGTACGGACCCTGGAAGCGCCGCCTCAAGGCCTCCCCGCCCCCCGGGCTCAAGCCACGGGCGCCCACTCAGTCCTGCTAAACTGGACTGAGCCAGAGGCCCCCCACGGCATCATCTCCCGGTACCGTGTGGTCTACCGAGAAGGACCAGATGAGGCAGCACCCAGCAGCTCTACCGTGCATGCCTTCACGCTGACGGTAAGAACGGGCGGTGAACAACAGGTTAAAACTCATTTCCTCACCTGCCTGTCGTTTTACTCACTTTAGAGCATGCGCCTATGAATTTTTCATATTCCAAAAACAGCAATATGGTTCTGGGGATAAGATAATAAATTGGGTACAAGGATTTGGGGGGTGGGGGCCAGTGGGTAAACCAGAACTGATTTGTGTTGCTACAAGCAAATAAACGAATCTCCAGGCCTGATTACCACTTTACAGACCCACTAAATAGAAATAATTCAGGATGTCCCTCAATATCGCATAAGAATGATGTCAATATGAGAACACATAATTTTCTAGTTTGTCAAGGAACCAACCTTACACATACATGTATATCTGTCTGCATGCGGGTTGGAAGGCAGTAAGAGTTCATGTGCTAGAAAAGACATGTGAATTCTAACAGCTTATTGATTGTTCTTTTCTGAGCTGTTCTCTTGATGCATAAAATCGTTTTATCAGTTTACCTAGTAATCCCTGAGAGTTTCTTTATGACCAGCAAACACTCAAATTCTGAGGGATACCGAAATATGATGGTCTTTGTCTGGGAAACTTTTGTACAGTATCCTGGCGATGAGAATTGTATGTTTAAAATAATTTAAAAACCCGTAGTGCCCATTGAACTAGACTTAGATCCCAAACCCATGCTAATCAGGAGTCTGGCAGAGCTGATAGCACATCGAAATCACTCCTCGGGGAATACCCTGGAAGTCACCGGGAGCACTCAGCATGAAGATGAAATGTTAGGGTTTAGGAGGTAAGGTTTCTAAAGTATTCCAAGACATCATTAAATATGAACAGCCCTTACAAATAAGGAGAGGAGCACATAGCATTGAGTATTAAGCTGTTTGTTTGTGCTTTAAACCATAGAAACCCAAGTTATGTGAAAGTTACGGGGTTCGTGTTTTTCGAGACAGATGACTAGCACTGGGGTGGTATGTTATGATAAAGATTCCAAAGGGGTCTTTGTAAGTGCATGGCAAAGTGTAACATTCTACCAATGTCCTCATGCTTTTTTTCATATGACTCAACCATAAGCAGCATGAAAGAGAAGGCATTAGTGTGAAAGTCCTCATCTCACGTCAGAACTGGTATTTTGTTCTCTGACATTCTTTATCTATCAGCGTTTTTCCATTTCATTTCCGGATCCTTCTTTGTAAGTCTTAGTAGCCACTATCCCATGTAGAAATGATCTGGTTTAACTGATAACTTTTTTCTGTATGGAAATCTGTTATTTTAGAAACTGTATCCTTAGAACTTGTACTCTAACCTTTCACCCGTCAAGTAACTTTGGTTAAAATACTGAAACACTATGATAAATATATTTTCATCAAAAGCACCAGGAACAATGACCTAGCACTGGTCCTTTCAAAAGACAACTTCCAAGAGTGTCTGGCTAATCATATGTTCTCCCCATTTCTAGTGGAATTCCTTTTGGGAGAATACCTTGTGAGTCATTGCTTATCTGGTTTTATTATCTGATGAACCTGTGCTTTATTTGTTCTATTTAGTTCTGCTTACACCATCTGACATGTTCTGGCAGAGAATCCAGCCTATAGCCTCAGGCTGGAAGCTGCACCAGGCCCTTAGTGCATGGAGCTTCCCATCATTGCTTTCAACACCCCCGTCCTGACAGACCCACCATGTAGCCCTTCTTCTCTTTTCTGTATGATGCCGATGACACTAGCCAATGTCATCAAGAAATTATAATATTCCTACACCTTATTTTTAATGTGTGTGTTCATCCCAACTGACCTTCCAACAGTCTGGATCATTGACTCTGAGAGTAAGACTTCCAGAGGTTTGGCTGGATTCACCCAGAAAGCTCCATCTGAATTGTTCAAAGAATTAGGGACATCTTCCATAAAGCCAGGATTCTGGTCACCAGGCCAAATCCCCAGGGCATGGTCACTGTGACCTCACATGGACAGGTACTTTGAATGAGATCATCAGAAAAATAGATGGTCTTTGAATCTCATCCAGTCCTATATTCCCAATGTAGAGGCTGTGTTTAACCTTAAAAAACAAAAACAAACAAAAAAAAAACCCTAAAAGAAGGAAGCTTACTGTATATCCAATGTTCTCTTCAGAGAGTAGCATTTCTTTGCTGTCACTGTCCTATTTTGCTTTCTGTTGCTATGAAAAACACTGTGAGCCAAGGCCAAAGGCCACTTGTGGAGAAAAGGGCTTATTTGGCTCACACATCCTGATCATAGTCTATCATGAAAGGAAGTCAGTATAGGAGTTCAGGGTAGGAACTTGGAGGCAAGAACTGAAGCAGAGACTGACTACTAAGTGATGCTTCACACTAGCTTGCTCTCCATGACTCCCTCAGTCTGCTTTCTTTTACAACCCAAGCAGAGTGTACTGCTCAGGAGTGGCACCTCCCATCATTGCTGGGGAAAATGGCTAACTGACATACCTCCAAGACACCTGATGGAGGCATTTTCTCATTTGAACTTCCCTTTTCCCAGATCATGGTGGCTTGTGTCACATTAAAAAAGAAAAGAAAAACCTAGCTATCTTCTATAATTTAAGCCTATTTTTATTTGTTTGTTTTCTGAACAGCATGACTTCCCCATATTATTGTAAAAATTCTTAGGGTCAATCACATTTAATCACATTGGATAAACAGTCATTGAGAAGAATGTTCTTTATCAGTGCTCAGTGCCGGGGCCTGCTGTGTGACTGAGCCAAGCAGTGACTGGGTGGGAAGGTGGGTGATCATGTGTTAGGCACACACTATTAGCTGGGCCCTGAGGTTTCTAAGCCCCTCGCTGCTGGGCATCTTCTATCTGGGCGCTGATGACTCCCTTTTAGATCTTGCTCCAAGATTCCTGGGCTTACTTGCTCTGGATAAAATTTTCTGCAGCAAAGAAGTTTACTATAAATGAGGCTCCGAGTACAAACACACAGTTTCAAATGAACAAACCAACTTGGAATCGTGAAAGACATTCCAAATGTCACTCGTTTGGTCCCTTGATTATTGAGATCCTGTATATACTCAAGAGACCACCAAACTATCACCACCCATGGTGTGAAGCCATTTCTAGCTTGCCAGGTCCCCCCAGAGTTTAGAAACAGGTGGAGGTTGCTGGGAGAGCCACATGAAGCCGGTGCGATGGAGCCACGAATCCTGCCGGAGGTGGCAGTGGATGGAGAACGGGCAGCAGGGGCCTCCATAGGGGTGAAGAGTAGATATCTTGGCAGGAGCAGCAGCAGCAGCAGATGCAGCAGGAGAGGAGAAATGGGGACTTCGTGGCTTTTAATGCATCACTAGCTTCTCTCCCAACCTCATGAAAAGCCACCTCTCTCTCTGAGTCTAAGTAGGTCTCTCTGAAATGAAAAGACAAAATTCTAAGGTGTCTTCAGATCTTTGTAGCCTACATGACTGAAACGGGGCTTCGGTTACGAGTCCTTAAACTTACTTCCCCCATTAGCTCTGTAATGTCAGGAATGAGGCTGAATTTAGCCTCTCTTGGCATGCAAGAGTTCCATGGTGCTACTTGCAGGAACACTCCTGGCGAGGCTGGCGAGGCTGCTCCCACCACTCAGGTCTGTTTGCTTTCGCTCATTGGCACCTGCCATCACATTGGCAGAAAAACTTGGTATTTAAAGGCAAAGGTGTTTTACCTGCTCGTCAGCGCTCTGAGCATGCCCATGTTTGCCCTGCAGATTATAAAACATCAAGCCCAAAACATACCGAATACCCTGAGAGATAGACGGTATCTCGCTCCATATGTAGAATCAGGCATAAGGAGCTGATGGGCCGAGCAAATGATTTGGGTCACTAAGAGTTGGCTTCTCACCTGGGCATGAAATCCAGAATTACTGCACTAGTCTCTACATTCTGGTTGCCAAACTTCCTTTCCCAATGTCAAGAAGGAGGCGTTTAAAATTTCCTCATGTGCTTGGCCCACATCTCTTTACCATTAAATAGATTTGTAGCCAAAACACATTATGAGATACTTCATAATTGCCCTATTATGGAAGGTTTGTGAGTAAATTGATGAACTCATTCTAATCCCATTTTCGTTTTGGCTTATTATAATGTAAAATATTATTGCTCCTTACATATGATCTTAAATTAGTCGTCGCTGTGACAGTGTGGTGTCCCGCAGCCTTTCTTCCGCAGACCCATGCATAGGGCGGCAGTGATGCTCCGTAAGAGGCTGTGTCCTAGGAGGACCTCTTTCTTGTGTGACAAACAATGGTGGGGAAACATTTGGCAGCTCCACCAAGTCTGTCCTACAGAGAGATTTTTCATTCACTGCCCTGATATGTTCTCCCTTTCAGTGAACTACTTTACTGAAAAGTAAGAAGTTATTTTGCCCCTTGTACTTTATTCTGATAGGCTCCAAAAGACTCCCTTTTAAATGACACCAAAGATGGGTCCCGTAGTTTGTTCTTAAGTTGTTCTTCGCTGACAAGCACCCACCATATAATCTAAGTCCGCTGACCTGTATTTAGATGTCTACAGGGAAGAGGCGACATCGTGGTCACGTCTCTTCCTTTAGTTTTCTATTCTTTCACTTGTCTCCTCAGAATCATCAGAAAGGGGCAAGAAGGAGAAGAAAGAAGGAGGGAGGGAGGGAGGGAGGGCAAGAGGGGAGGAGAGGAAGTGGGGAGGGAGGAGGGAGGAAAAGGGATGTGAATTATGTTAAAAATGAGAAGAGCCTTGCTAATGCTCACGTCCTACTGCACTGCAGTGCAGGAGCCTCGTGGGATTTCTATGTAGAGGACCCGGAGAATTCCCATGGTCCAAACTCATTTGATGGAGGCAGGCCTGCTGATGCGGCTGGTTGTTTGCCATTGCTGTTGATGTTGTTTTTGTTGCTCTCCTTTCTGTCAGAGCCCCACCCTGGGAGTCAAACCCACCTCTGCTCTTCTTCTGCCTTCACTCCTACCCCAGCCAGCATCCCAACCTGTCATGTTGATAACACTTTCCTAGCATCCGTGAGCCTATAGAACACTTGTCCCAC